TTACACATGAAATTTACACACTATTTGAAAAATAAGCGCAAGGGAAGTAAGGCATGGTTGGCGTTGAAACTAGATATAAGTAAAGCTTATGACCGGATTGAGTGGGATTTTTTACTTCGTATGCTGGCCTGGTTGGGATTAATTGCCCATTGGATTCAAATGATCTCAACCTACATTTCTACGGTCTCTTACTCTTTGAAAATTAATGGGAGCTCAGTGGGTTTTTTCCAACCGTCCAGGGGTTTGCGTCAAGGCGATCCTCTTTCCCCATATTTATTTATTATTTGCGCTGAAGCTCTTTCACTGGCTATTTTGCGGGCCCAGGAAGCTCGATTGTTATCTGGAGTTTGTATTTGTCAGGGAGCACCGTCTGTGTCTCATCTTTTTTTTGTGGATGATTCTATTGTGTTTTGTGCTGCTGATTCAGCTGAAGTTGGTGTGTTGAAACGCATTTTGGCTGATTATGAACGGGCCTCTGGGCAACAGGTGAATTTTAGTAAATCCTCCATTTTTTTCTCACGTAATGCTCCTATGCCATTGAGGCGATCTCTTAGTTGTGCTTTGGGCTTGCCGTTGTCGAGGTTTCATAGTCGATATCTTGGGGTGTCGGCCATTTTGGGCCGCTATAAGAGGGATGTGTTTTAATTCATTCTGACTAAAATCCAGGACCGGTTATCTTTTTGGAAAGCGAAAGCTATGTCTACGGGTGGGAAAGCGGTGTTAATTAAGGCAGTGTTAAGTGCGTTGCCTACATATGTTATGTCTTCCTTTAAGCTTCCCATTACGTTGTGTCACGATTTAATGAAGTATATTCGCTCTTTTTGGTGGTGTTCTAAAGATAAATTTCAGGCAATTCATTGGCTTCATTGGAAATTCTTGTGCCGGAGTAAATCTTCGGGAGGTCTGGGCTTTCGTGATTTGGAGGCTTTCAATTTGGTTCTTTTCTCTAAACATGCTTGGCATTTTCAGGTCCATAAGCAGGGACTGCTGTATCAGCTTTTCAAAGCAAAGTATTTTCTTTCTTCGTCATTCTTGGAGGCTCCTTTAGGTTATAATCCTTCTTGGGGATGGCATAGTATTTGGTCTACTCAGGCCTTGTTATGTCAGGGGGTCCGCTTGTTAATTGGGAATGGCCTTTCCACGGATATTTGGAATGATCATTGGGTCCTTACACTTCCCCACAAACTGCCACCACCCCAGGTTCCTACTCCCTTTTCTTCTGTGGCAGAGTTGATTGATCCTGTTATGTCTTTCTGGAAGTTGGATGTTTTGTCTTAAGTTTTCTCACCCACTACGGTGCAGGAAATTCTTAAAATTCACATTAGTCGTTGGGATAAACCGGATGAGATCATTTGGTCTCCTGAGCGGTTGGGTAAGTTTTCTGTACGATCAGCTTATCAGTTGGCTATGTCCGGGGCTTCTTTTTTGGGGGTTTCTTCTCCTACTGGTTCTTGGTCTTCTATTTGGAGTTGTCGGACACTGTCTAAGGTGCAACACTTCCTTTGGAGATGTTGCTTTCATGCTTTGCCGGTTCGTGTTGCTTTGCTGGTTCGCGGGTGTGCGGTGTCTCCTCTTTGCCCTCGCTGTGGGTTACATAAGGAGTTTGTGGTGCATCTTATCTTTTTTTGCGCTCATTCTCTTCAAGTGTGGAAGTTATCTCCATTACGCTTTGATTTTTCCGATTTGTCTTTTTCTTCGTTCCGCGTAGGCTGGCGTTTTCTGGTCCATAAGGCTATGGTCTCCTCGGATTTTGCAAATGTTATTAGCCTTATTTCCTTTTGTGTATGGGGTATTTGGAAGGCCCGGAATCGGTTGGTCTTTGAGGGGATTTTATGGTGGCCTGAGGTTGTGGTGCAAAAGGCTGTTGTTAGTTTTTGGGAGTTTCATGATGCTCGTTCCCTCTGCTCCTCAGTGCAACCACGACTGGCTGGTGAGTTGGTGGAGTCGTGGAGTCCCCCTCCATCGGGTGTTGTTAAGTGTAATTTTGATGCGGCTTTTTGTCAACAGTCTTCGCAAGGGGGTGGCGCTGCTGTTTTTCGGGATTCTCGGGGTGTAGTGCTTCGTGCGGTTATTTTTTGTCCCTTCTCAGCTGCTTCAGCTTTAGAGGCGGAAGCATTGGTCTGTCAGCGTGCGATTCTTTGCGCTATAGCTTTGCATTTCTCTTCCTTATGGTTTGAATCAGATGCTAAAGCTGTGGTGGACGGGTGTTATGTCAGATGTCTTGCACGTCCGAAATTGCTTCTATTTGTTTTGATATTGCTTGGGACTTGCGACGGTTTTCATCTACTCGGTTGACTCATGTGCGTCGTCAAGGTAATCTGGTGGCTCATGCTTTGGCTGCTCTTTCGTGGTCTGGGGTTGTGTCGGATATGTGGTTGTCTTCTGTTCCTCCTTTTGTCGTCCCTTTTGTGGTGGCAGAGGGGGGGTCTTAGTGGGTTATGGTTCATTTGGTTCTTGGGTTGTGGTTATTTTTGCCTTGGACCAAAAAAAAAAAACAAACTTCCATCAAACTCTTAAATAAACTAAAATATTTCATCTGTTTACAACACACCAACATTTCTTATTATTAATAATCTTTTAAATTATTAAAATGAAAATTTTGAATTTTTAAACAAATAAAAAAATACCCTTGGACTTGGTTTGACTGCAATGGGCTGCTAGCGCTGCGATCTTGTTTTAGAGGTCCGTATTCAGGGATTGCTGCAAAAGCAATAAATCATCTATATTAAAATGATAAGCTGTTGAAATGAATTATCAATAATTAATAGAAATAGATTAGGGCATTGTTTGTGTTGTGTTTAGAATTTAGAAGCAAATTCGCTAGAGAAAAAATGTAATGGGTGTTCTCTCTATTGACGAGAATCAAAGACATTAGAAATATTAAGAACTTATTTGTACAATAAGAAAAAAGTAGGGATTTGATTTTTAAAAAGCAGATCGGTCATTGTTCACTGGGCAACACCAATATCATAACTATGTTTGAAATTTATACTCGATCCATTAATCCTTTAATTTTATTGGTGAGTGTACAACCTTTAAATCTTGATTTTTTATTTTCAGTATGATAGAATATATTATAGGATTACATTGTTTCTATACGGAAAATATAAATTTGACATTTTATATAAAATTGTCATTGATGAAAAACTTTTTATTTATTTTTTATTTATTTTTGGTTAGAGGGTGGTTGGGGGAATGGTTAGTTATAATCGTCAAAGGCAAAAAAAAAAATGTACTATAAGGTTAATTGTATGCATGTGTCCCTTTTTTTTATTTTTCTTTTTCTTTTTTTTGTAACATATATTATTTGACAATAAAATTAACATCTTTGTGACACGTGAGCTCTGCCTACAAAGTTTTGAATGACTGAAAACCCTAAATCAAAATGTTGCAACTGATAGGAGAAAAATACCCTTTACAGTAACACACACCTGACAACAAGAGACAAATTATTTAAGAATTTAGAAATAAATTTTTTTTATTTTTATTTTTTTCAACTGTTATCTGAGCTACAACCCTGTCTATCTTATAATCATCTTAATTGTTTCCAAACTTTCGATTGATTGGTTCATTCATCGGAACAATAGTTGTAGCATAATCTTGGAACAAATATATACATAAACACCAACAGGCCAGTGGTATAACGGTATCAATCTCTTAATCAGGGGCTCAAGTCTTAAAAGAGACATGTGTGTGTGGGTACCGACTAGGGAAAAAAAAAAATATACACATAAACAAAGTGGCAACATTTTGGAAGATTCTATTACAACTATTGTTTAAATTAAACAAATCAAATGGGAGAAATTAGTTCAAGTATTCTTAAAAAATTATGTTTAATTTTTCATATCATCTCTAATTAATTCATCTCAAATTAGTTCAAACAAATTTACTTGAACTTATATCCGAATTCATTGGTGTCTAGGTAAACATTACGCCGTATATAATTTAAATATGACTCAAATAGTACAAAATATTCTTCATACAGATTAGATATTTGGTAAAATTCGATCTCAAATTTCATGATGAATTTTTCAGCGAAGATCTGTATCCAATTTGTTTTTGAATTCGGATTCAAAAGTAAAAAAAGGAACTTTACATCAAGTTAAGAGTACTCAATAGAGTAACTAAGTGGTCTATTTTAAAATTTTATTTTTCACTTTAGTTGAATTAGGCAAAATAATTGAATATTTGTTAAATTCTAAACTGCCCTTCAACCTCTTATTTCAAAACACTAAATTATTCATCTTAAATCAAATAGTATAAGTTGCACGTGCAGTAGAATATATTATCTAGAGTCGCATTGCATTTTGCATAGTCATAAGGAACACGGGAAGGGGAGGCTATCCAAGTCATTTTCTATTTGATTTTTTTGTGGTAGGTAGGCCTATGCATAATTTCTTATTCGATTGAAAAAGGATAATTTGATCTTTTAAAATAATGGTAAGACATTTTGAAAAGGAAAATGATTCTCGATTATTTATAAATTGTTTGACTTAGAAATTTTAATTGATCATGTATGCAAAATGTAAGAAAGTCGATCCAATACTTTCTTATATTTGATAAAGTTGACCAATCAAAACTTATAGGTAAAACAATTCATTTGAGAATTCAGCAAGTAACACTACTCTTTTAAAAAACTTTGATTCTCAATACATATATAATAATTTTAAAAAATAAATAAAATTTCAAAATAGACTAGTGTTTTATTAGCCTAGATAGCTTCACAACACCGTGGTGGACTCTACGAAAAAAAAAAAAAGGAAATTTTATTTTTTATTAAGAACTCCAAACTCAATGTAAATGCCATAATTTTCGTAAAATCGAAAGCTGTTAAAAAAAATTTCAGATCGAATTAATTACAAGAAATAAAATAAAAATCAGATTGAATCAGACTGCGGGTCAAACCTGATCCATTTCAGATCCTCCATTTCAGACCCAAAGTATCCGGGTCGTTCTGTTTTGTTCTGGGCTTTGACCTCAAAACCCTAAACCCTTTACACGTTCCTTCTAGACCCTTCTCTCTCCCTCCCTCTCTCTACAAAACCCCCATTTCTGTTCAGTCATCCCAAAAACCCCTCTCTCTCTCTCTCTCTCTTTCTCTATATTTTCTATAGCGTTCTTTCCCTGCAACTCTCGTAACATGTATCGATTCGCCGCCAATCTTGCTTCCAAAGCACGGTATGTTCTATAACAACAAATAAAAATCGCTTTTTTTTGAATCGATTATTTCTTCGTTCTCACTGATCTCTCTACCTTTGTTATGTAGGGTCGCTAGGAACAGTACTAAGCAGGTATTGATTGATTTAATTGTTTCAATCTTAGCAATATGATGTTAATGTTTGATATATATATATATATATATATATATATATATATATATATATATATATATATATTTGACAAATTGATCTTTTGTGTTTTTTGGGGTTCAGATTAGTACTAGGTTGGCTTGGAGTAGAAATTATGCAGCAAAAGACATTAAATTCGGGGTCGAAGCGCGGGCTTTGATGCTCAGGGGTGTCGAAGAGCTCGCTGATGCTGTTAAAGTAACAATGGGGCCAAAAGTGAGTTGGTATTAGAATTGGACTATGTTGTTGTTCCGTGTATTCTTTGAAATTGTCGCATTTCTGTGAGAGAGAAATGTAATTTCTGTTCTAACACAAGGCGTAACAGAAAACAAAGACCCACTTTTTTTTTTTTTTTTTGTATAACATGTGAATGTGTATTTTTCACCTTCTCAATTCAACCCAACAAAGCCAGCCCTTTGCCCACTATGTGTAGGCTACATGAATCCTGTTATTGAAGTCCATTGGAATGGACAATTATCAATCAATTCTAGTCAGTGATTTTGAATAATTAACTACAATGGTGAGTCTTATTTCATTAGGCCAAGTTGTGGATTTTAGTTGATCCTATGATTCTGATAATTATAATAATTTTTTATCCTTCTACTTTTAACTTTGGTCTTCCCCTTTCCCTAGCAGCAGTATCTCAAATTTTCACCTTGTATGAAATACGCAGCATAACACAATCATAGACATTCACATACTCTATTTCATTAAACATAATTTTTCTCTCTTTGTGTGATTTTCCCTCGGTAGTTCTTTGTTCAAAACTATACCGTGTAATCAATGTCCCATGAATGTTTCAGTTCCAATTTTTGAAGCACTGACATTGGTGTCTATCTAACTATGGCTTTTAGATTCTCTTCCTTTGCTCTTTTGTGGAGTCAATAATGTGAATTCATCCTTCAACAAATTTATGGGTGCTAGCTTTCATCGTACTTAATTTATTGTGCTTAAATTTTGGATCCTGCTGCTTCTATTTGTTATTAAACAATATTTGATCCGGAATTTGGGAGGAAAGAAATCTAATCAAAGGAAACAGGAGGGAAATAAAATAAAGTAAAATTTTGCCCTTAAATGTTTTAATGAAAAATAAAGCAAATGATAAATAACCTGCGATTTCAAGTGGTTCTCATTTGAATTGCTTAAAAGAGATAATTCTGATTGGTCAATAAGAATTTTTTCCCCTTCGTTTAACTTGACCAATAAATAAACAAATCTATTCAATGAGTAAAAGGAAAGAGAGGAATCTATTTCTTTGCCATCAACATTTGCCAGTTTGATCAAGTTAATGGAAATTTAAAGCCTAGTATATTTTATTTTATTCTTTACAATTATACTTTTTCCTTTTATTCAAAATTGTTGATTGCTTGTTTGACCTGTTTAATATGTGAACGATTTCAAATTTTGTTTTGAAATTCAATTCAAGTTTGAGGGTCATCAGGTGTCCAACATGTCTCCAGGCATGTTGCACAGAAGATTGTGTACAATATGGTTTTTGACATGGATTTGAATTTTTTAAAAAAGTGTCAGTGCTACATGGCTTGTAATTTGTAAAATAACTAAAAGTTATAAAAGAAGAATTATGTTTTGAGTGCAAAATCAAGATTTAAGTTTGAGAGTATCCTAATCACTGAAGTCCTGCAACCAAATCCCTAATGATCAGAATGATACTACTAATTATGTTTCCCCTTTTATTCTTGATCTAGGATAACATATTTGAGAATTCTTATCTTTTCCTTGAGGGGTTGCATTTTTAACCGGAAATTGTTTGTATCATTTTACTTCTATTTCGAATCCTTTTTAACAATTAAGAAAATATTATTTAGACTTTAGAATCAAAAAATATTGTTGCCATAAAGTTGGGCATCTGTTGCTTGATATGGATTACTGTATTTTGGGCTCAGTAAATTGTCTCTTTAGTTTTTTCTTTTATCATATTATCATTTGATTGCATGTTGTTCAGTCCTCCTTTTGCCTTTATTTCTTCTTGTCGAGTCTTTTCGTTTTCCTCAAGTAATGTATTGATACTTGTTATTGTTCAAAATTTGTTTATTATTATTATTTTTTCTTCCTGAAAAAGTTTCCCTATTTGAAATTGTGTGATGGAGGCTAGTGTAGTTTGGTTCTTTTATGTCCCTTGGATCTTTATCCTCCAATCTATGATGGTTAACTAGTGTTGTTTTTTGGTGTTTGACTTTTCCAAAGGGACGCAATGTTGTTTTAGAACAAAGCTATGGTGCCCCGAAAGTGACAAAAGATGGGGTCACTGTGGCAAAGAGCATTGAGTTCAGCAACAGAGTCAAGAATGTCGGTGCTAGCCTTGTAAAGCAGGTTGCAAATGCTACAAATGATGTTGCAGGCGATGGTGAGGTTTCAGACATGCTGTTTTTAGGCTACCTGAATGTTATCTTCTGTTTCATATAGTTGTTTTTGATGCATAGGTTGTTATTGCTAGTGTTCTGACCTATGGCATCTTGATGGATATGGTAGTTCCTACATTTACTAGATCTTCAGCAAAATGGGACTTTCCAAATCTAGACATGGTTGATGATCCAGGGCATGTTCATATGTTTCAGGTACCACTTGTGCAACAGTTCTCACCCGCGCAATATATTCTGAAGGGTGCAAGTCAGTGGCTGCTGGAATGAATGCCATGGACCTGAGACGAGGGATCACGATGGCAGTTGATGCTGTGGTCACAGACTTGAAGAGTAGAGCACGGATGATTAGTACGTCTGAAGAAATAGCACAGGTTTGCTTTATAGAGTACCTCCTTAACTGAAAGTTACTTATGATATGAAAGTGTAATAGTTTCGAGGGAATTATTTGTGAAAAATGATAGCTTTCATGTAAATGATTTATTGTATCACTAATAGCATCTCATCTTGAAAAGGTTGGCACAATATCAGCAAATGGAGATAGAGAGATTGGTGAGCTGATAGCCAAGGCTATGGAGAGAGTTGGCAAAGAGGGTGTTATTACCATTGCTGTAAGTGGCCTTCTTATTTTTCCGTCTTTTCCTCCTGAATGATACCTATAGTTTTTAAATGTTCAATAGCTATAGGTGCAGGTTGCTTTACAATTTGTTTGTGCAGTTTTTGTTAGTCAATCATTCTTTTCTAATCCTTTATTTTAAAATTTTAAAATTTTTTATAAATAAATTTTTGAAACGTTTGGTATGATGTTCTTGATTTTCTATATGGAAAAATGTTTTAGTCATGACTAGTTTGTTAATTTGTTTTAGTTTCCCTTCTCCACCATTTTTGTTTTTCCTTTTTTTTTTTTTTTTTGTTGGTCAGGTTCCTTTTTTTGAAGGTTTTTTTCTTAATTTTATTAACAGTAGCATATACGTATTTACAATTTTTGGTTAGTTACTTGCAAAAATATTCAAAATATTCTATTTTTTCTTGAGAATAGTAGCCAAGCAAACTACCAAAGGGATGGTTTTATTGTTCATGCTGATTTGTTAATTAGTTCTGCTGATTTAAATTACAATACCTTTTGCATCGTGGTGTTGATGTTTAAATTGATCTTCGCTCTTCTTTTGTCTTCAATACTATATCTATGTTATTATTATTTTTTTCGAACGGTTATATCTATGTTATTTTAATATTTTTTGTAGAACTTTATCCTGCCATTATTATTTTGTGAAGTTTTTTAAGGATCCAACTGATGGATTTAGTTGCTGCCTTACACTGTTGCAGGACGGAAACACACTGGAGAATGAATTGGAAGTGGTTGAAGGAATGGAGCTGGACAAAGGCTATATATCCCCTTATTTCATCACTAATCCAAAGACTCAAAAATGTGTAAGCAGATTTATTTTCTCTGAACTAATGACTTCTATGCACTCCCCCCACCCCCCAACTCCCTGAAAAAAGAAAAAAAGAACAGAAAAAGAATCAATCTACATTCATAGACACTCTCAGGGGCACTACTAGTTTATTTATATGTTTACTTTGCCGAGTGTTTCATGGTGTTTGGGTACTTCCTACTCCTGTATGCTGCCTGACTTCCTGTTATTAATGAAGTTCTTTTTCATTTTATTTTGGCCAGGAACTAGAAGATCCACTAATTTTAATCCATGAGAAAAAAATCTCAAGCGTAAATGCAGTGGTGAAAATATTAGAGTTGGCCTTGAAGGTAGACATCTATTTTGTATGTTAAGAAAAACATGTTTTTCGTGCTATTTGAATATTACAACCATATTATATCATGTTCTTCCAGAAGCAAAGACCCTTACTGATTGTTGCTGAAGATGTGGAAAGTGAAGCATTGGCGACCCTCATTCTGAACAAGCTTCGTGCTGGAATCAAGGTGTTTTTAAGCTCTTATCACATAAATAGTAATCCATTAGCTTAAGTACAGTTTGTTTGGGGGTACAACTCTCTGAATCTAACTTTATTATGCATCTGTTGAAGGTCTGTGCCATTAAAGCACCAGGATATGGAGAAAATAGGAAGGCCAATCTGCAGGACCTTGCCATCCTCACAGGGGGAGAGGTAGGTTCACCTTTTAGTATTTTATTGAATGAACCACTGGCTTACTTTTTTGAATATGTTTTTTTTTTTTTTTTTTTGGTATTGCATGTGCCATTGTGTAAATTTTCTTCCTTTCTTCACCTCCTCGATCAACTGTAGGTCATAACTGATGAGCTTGGCTTGAACCTTGATAAGGTGGGAGTAGAAATGCTAGGGTCATGCAAAAAGGTGAGATATTAGAATGATGTTTTGGTGTGATTGATGTGCTATTTTTTGGTGTGATTGATGTGCTACTTTTCGATAACCCTATGGCAAGTTATGTTTCTTTATCATCTTATTGTGTGGTGGATAACAGGTTACTGTATCAAAAGATGATACTGTAATTCTTGATGGGGCTGGTAGCAAGAAAGACATTGAAGAAAGAATTGACCAGGTTAATACCATCATATTCTCAAACCAGTTACTTGATATTCTGTCTGATTCCCATTGAATTCATAACTAACTTGATTTGCGGCCTGTCATTGCCATTTAACAGATAAGATCCTTAATTGAATTAAGCACTTCTGATTATGACAAGGAGAAACTGCGAGAGAGACTAGCGAAGATCTCTGGTGGTGTTGCTGTCTTGAAGGTTAGTTTCTCACTGGAAGACAACTTTATCATTTCTGTTGTCTGTAAAGAGGGCCAAGAGCTCTTATCTAGGCCTACATAAGTAGTTCATAGGAGATTAATGGCAATTTATAAAATAGGACAAAATAAGTGGTAATTTGTGAAACAACATATGAATGAAGTCTGTACTTTTGCTAGATTGGAGGAGCCAGCGAAACTGAGGTGAGTGAGAAAAAAGACAGGGTTACTGATGCTTTAAATGCTACAAAGGCAGCTGTGGAGGAAGGAATTGTGCCTGGTGAGCTGCTTAATTTATGAAAGCTTTTTGTATATCTTGTTGGCTTTAGGACGACTGGGCATTAATTTTGAGCTTTTTATGTCTAGGTGGTGGTGTTGCTCTTCTTTATGCCTCAAAGGGGTTGACAATTCTCCAAACTGCGAACTTCGACCAAAAGATCGGTGTTCAGATTATTCAGAATGCTCTAAAGGTTTGAACCTCTTACTATTCTAAATGATCAACTTACTTTAGTGCTATAATTGTAAGCATATAGTTTTGTTTCTTTCTCGAGCCTATTTGGTGAGCAAGCACTTTGCGTGTTTGCCTGAGGGGTATTTGCTGAAAATATTCAAAACCCTCGTTAACTTGAGTATGATGCTGTAGAATATTTAGATGGTTTGAGCAGCAAAGCAGATAAACTTGAAAAAATTAACATTAAAGCTGCAAGACATATAATTTTTTTTTTGTTAATAAATAATTACTGTTGAAGACAAAAACTCTCAATATTGTTCTTTATTTTATTTTGTCTTTTTCTTTTGGTTGGGGTTGACATTATGGATCTTAAAACACCTGTTGCTTGTTGGGTCGTGGGGGGCACATGATGGACCTTAAAATTGCTAGATATTTTGAGAAGTTTTAATATGTATTCTGTCTAATTTTAATAACAAAAATACCTGTATAGTTCATCTATGGCTGCTTTTGAGGCTTACATTGATAGAATACTGCCCAAAACAATAGTTGGCTTTATTTCTCTTTATATTTTCGCCTGCACAGGACCTTGTCGTTATTATTCTATATGGTCAAAACATGCACTGCAAAGACTTTCTTGGAATGTACTCCTTAAAAATATTATTAATCGTGTATTAATCTGTTTCTCCTGCAGGCACCGGTGCACACGATTGCTTCTAATGCTGGAGTTGAGGGGGCAGTAGTAGTTGGCAAGTTGTTGGAGCAGGATGACCCTGACCTCGGATATGATGCGGCTAAAGGTTCTCGCTCTTTCTCTCTCTATCACACACACACACAGAGACTAAAAGAGATTGTAAATTACTTTCATTCTCTCAATTTTGACAATTATTTTCCAACCAGGTGAATATGTGGACATGGTGAAGTCAGGAATCATTGATCCATTGAAGGTCATTAGAACAGCTTTGGTAGATGCTGCCAGGTAATTTTCCTAGCCTGCGAAGATTTTTTCCCTTTTGTTTTAGCTTTCCAATCAAGCACTGATCGGTTCTCTTTCTCTATGTAGTGTTTCCTCTCTGTTGACCACAACTGAGGCTGTTGTCGTTGAACTTCCCAAGGTTGAGAAGGAAGCTCCACCAATGGGTGGAGGCATGGATTATTGAGGAACTTGTGACAGCCTCAACTCATCTCATCTCCTTAAATTACTCAGTTTTTAAAACCACAAAAGGTTGTTTGTTCAACCACTAGTATGATTCTCTGTTTCTCCTAGTTTTTGGAAAAAAATAATTTAACCTCTTTTTGTAGTTTTCGGAAAACAGAATATTATAGTGATTAGTGAGAGCTCATAGTTCTAGATTTTTTTTTTTTTTTTTCTTTTTTAATCGCTGTTTTGGGTATAGCTATTATCATTATTATTATTATTTTTTGGCCAGGTATATGCCTACACCCACCCACAAATGACTACAACGGTCTCCAACTAGGGATGTCAATTTCTCCCTATCTAGCAGGTTTCTGTCCCACATGGGATAGATTCGGGAAGCATTTTTACCCCATAGGGGCGAGGTTTCTGTCCCACATGGGATAGATACGGGAAGCATTTTTACCCCATAGGGGCGAGGTTTCAGTCCCACATGGGATAGATACGGGAAGCATTTTTACCCCATAGGAGCGAGGTTTCCGTCCCACATGGGATAGATAATGGAAGCATTTTTACCCCGTGGGGCGGGTATGGGATTTAAAACATGAACCCGAGTCGGAACCCGTCCAGATTCTATGTTAGTATTACATTTTTACCTTTACTTTAAAATAATTACCAAGTCTAGAGTCTAGGGTTTATGCCTCTCGCGTCACTCTCCAGATCTAAATCTAATACGGTGATATTAGTACCCGCCGCCTCTGCGGCTAGTCACCATTTTACTACTCACCGGCCATTTGGTGATCATCATTTGCTCCTCACCGGCCACGACCAAGAGACTAGCGATATCCGATAATCAGGAAAATTGTGCACGGTGATGACGATTTGCGTTCTGTTTCTTGTGCACGGTGATGACAATTTGCGTTCTGTTTCTCTCACACACACCGTCTCTCTTTCTCTCTCTCTCCCATTTAGTGTCCGTCAGCTTAGTTTAGTGTTGGGGGGTGGATTTTAGGCAAAGCCGCCCCATTGCCATCCCTAGCTTAAACCTCTCACCTCCCCTTCGAAGGAAGGAGAGCTATACCAGTTGTGACGGTTCATGGTCCTATCGAGCCGAGGAGATGACTTCAAATTCTTTATCATCTCCGGAGGTCTCCTTCCCATTGGATTATCTTGTTAGTTAGCTTTGTCTGGTGTGGGTCTCTCGGTTTGAAATTTGAATATAGATAATGGTTTGTGTGGCTGTGTGTGATACTTCCTCTATCCATTCAAGGAACTATGTGTTTCACCACTAAGCTATTTTTATTAATTTTTATTTTTCTGTTAAATAACTCTTTCATCTAAATCCTCCCATTAATTTTACAATTTTGCCTTTTAAAATCTCCTTAAAATATCCGTCTGACCCCTCCTCAACTATTTTGTAATAAACTCCCTTGACTAACACCCATTCTGTTGTTTTCCGTGGCCTCTGTTTTGCATCTTTCGTTTTTATCTGTTGGAGGCCTCAGGGTCTTTAGCCCATGGGCTTGGCCTTCTCTGTACAGTTTTCTTTTTTGAATCTCCTCCAACTATTTGACGTGGATAACATAGTGATTAATATTAATTATACTATTTATTTTAATTTTATTATTACTATCAATTTATCATAAAAATAAATAAATTCTTAATTACCATTTTTTTAAAATTATTAACTTATTATTAAAACTTTATTATTTATAATAAAATTTATTATACTTTTTTTAAATTTTAATAAAATAAAACTTATTTTAAATTTTAATAAAATAAAAAATACCCTCTTTTTCATGCAATATATTTATAAAAATTAATTAAATAAAAATACCTTCTTTTTCATGTAATATATTTATAAAAATTAATTAAATAAAAATGCTTTTTTTTTTTTTCATGAAATATATTCACAAAAAAATATATACTTTTGTCTAAATAAAAAAAGAGATGTAAAATAAATTTATTTAGCGATTTTGATTATCTAAGAGGTTTATTTATTTACTTATTATTATTGTTATTAAATAAAAATCTAGCATTATCACAATGTTCACAATCAATTCCCAACGACTAAACGGTGCTGCATGTCGTGTACACAGGAAAAAACCCATGGTGCAATGGATGTAAACGTGGCACCGAATGGAAAAAAAAGACATGCAATATAGTGTGTGTATATAAATATACATAATACACACACATTATTCATATATGCACACTTAATTCGTTCTTATCATCTGCTAAAATAAATAAGTCCAAGTTCCAATTCTGGAGATATGTCTGAGGAGGCCCCGGATGACATGGGCCAGATCCGACTCGCAAACATAGCATTCAGTCCGTACAGCTGGGCCAGCCCATAGAAGGACACTGCCATATGGGCCGAACGAGAGTAAGCCCATCAAAGGTGACCAAGGCTTACGAAGGAATAGGCCCAGATCCAGCAATTAGTAAATATCTTGTAAATATTTTGTAAATATCTATAAATAGGAGATGGAATGAAATGAAGGGGGATCTTTTTTGGGGGTTGAGGTGTAAGAATTCTAGAGAAAGAAAGTGGAGAAGGAATTTCTTGCATCTTCAATTGGCGCCGTTTGTGGGAAACGCATGGAAGTTTGGTTGATCAATGAGGAATATCGAATGGATTCAAACCAATTCGGTTGATCGAGACTCGATCTTTGGGATTTGAATCCAGAGCTGAGCGATTGTGACCTGCTCTGGAAGAATTACAATTCTTGAAGCTTTGGAGTGACTTCAGATCTACGAGTTGTTTGATTGTGGCAGGATCTGACGGATTTAGAGTTCAGACAATTCAGATCTCGTAAACAGTGAGCATAATTCGGAGAATTAGAAGCCAGATCTAAAAAATTCCTACTCACGAAGCTCAGATCTACTCGCGAGCTTGAGATTAATGCCTTTACTCCGTTCGGGAATAATGATAGGTGAAAGCTCCAATCCGATGGAGGCTGTCCAGCAAACAAAGCTTGAAGAGTTGATGAACTTGATTGAAGTTCTCAGAAAAGAAAATGCAGAATTGAAAGCTGGACTGCAACATCGGCAAATACCTGCGGTTTCGCATCCACCTCCGGTCGGAGAAGGAGGTGTTCAATCCAATATCGCGCATCAAGGCGATCAGAACGAGAACAATCAGTCAGCTCACCACCGTGATGAAAGGATGATGGACAATTTGCCGCCAAATGTTCGTCGAGTTGAAGATCACGAAGGATCGACTCACGTTGATCCGCAGCGGGAAAGGTTTGACCGAGAGGAAGTGATGGAGGTTGATCGCCGTCGAGTAGCGTCGCCTTGGCAAAGAGAGTTCATAGAGGAACGGTCGTTCGATCCGTCTTACCGGCCTTCCATGGTTACTGTCATTCATCACGGTTCGGAGGGCAGAACCGTAACTCACAGAGCTACCGCTGGACTCCAGAGAGAGAATGAAGCTCTCCGATCCGCAGCTCGGACGGTGGATTCACCATTCACCGACGAGATCTTGAATGCGCCGCATCCAAGGAAGTTTGCTATGCCAGTCTTTATTCTGTTTGACGGAACGACCGATCCGATCGATCATGTGTATCATATTCAGTTGAAAATGGCCCTGAATACGGAAAACGACTCTTTAATGTGCAAATGTTTCCCTACAAGCCTGGCCGGATCGGCGCTCAGCTGGTTCAAAAACTTGCCTAGGAGCTCCATTGGCAGTTTCAGGGACCTGTGCGATCGGTTCATAAGCCAGTACTATGGGAACAAACGCCCGCCGAAGGACATCTCGAGCCTGTTCACGATGCGGCAGCACAAGGATGAACGTCTCCAGGCCTTTCTTACCAGGTTTAATCTCACTAAGAGTATGGTGATCGAATGCCACCCTTCTACGGCAGTTCAAGCCTTCAAGTTAGCCATGACACGCGGAACTCCGTTTCACACCAGTCTGGTAGTGAACACGCCGGCTACCATGGATGAACTCAATGAGAGAGCCGATGGCTTTGTGCGCCTCGAAGAAGAGGAGGCAGCTAATGCTCGGACAACGTCGCTTGTGTCGACCGAGGAAAAGTCCAAGGCAAAGATCAGGCAGAAGCAGGCTCAGCCGCAACGTCAGACCACTTGGAAGGCCGAAAAAAGGTCCAGGGAGGAAGAGTTGATTACTCCGCTGAAGGTCACTCTGGCGAGGCTGTATCAGGAGAACAAGGACAAGTTTCATCCACCACTGCCAATTAGACAACCCCTCGAACAGAGGGATCAAACTAAACATTGTGCTTTTCATTCTGATTTCGGACATCAGACTAACGAATGCAGGAACCTGAGGAGGCAAGTGGAGATGTTGATAGCTAGAGGGGAGTTTGCGAGTTATGTTCAAGGCTCGGCGATGGAGCAGAATCGACCGGTGGAACAAATAAAAAGGAGTCATAAACAAAGCTCCCACAATTCGCAACCAGTTCGTATAATCAATGCTATCCATGGTCGACCCGAGCCTAGTGAAGAGTCAGATGAGCTGCTCCGGGTGCGCCTGCGGCAGGCGCAGATGAAGAAAAGGGTCGGCAATGTGACCACTCTACACCAGCAGAGCCCGTCAATGCAGATAAAGTTCGACTGGACAGACCTGCAGCGTGTTCAACTGCCTCATGACGACCCGTTGGTAGTCAGTTTGACAGTGGCAGATTGCTTGGTGCGCAGAGTTCTGATCGATCCTGGGAGCAGTGCGAATGTTATGCCGAGGGACACATTTGACAGGCTCGACATTAAACCAGAGAGGCTCAAGCCCACCGGAAATCCCTTATTAGGGTTCGATGGGAAGAGGGTGGAACCCGTCGGGATAGTGGAAGTAGAAGTTCAAGCTGCAGAACGAGCTCTTATGGAAACTTTTGTGGTTGTGGAAATTCACCCCTCGTATAATCTCCTGATGGGAAGAGGATGGATTCACAGAGTCCGAGGTGTACCCTCAACTCTGCATCAGGTCATGAGGTGCCTCGGGCCCGATGGAGATAAAGTAATAGACATTCGGGGGGATCAGGTCGCAGCCAAAGAGTGTTATTCCGTCACACTAAAGCATGCTGGGAAAGGAAAGGCGCCCGTCCGTTCGACAAGCCCCAGATAGCAATTACAGGAACCTCCGCTCGAGCAGAATAGGGTGGAGGAGTCAGCCGACTTGACCGAGGAGCCCCTTCTGGATGTGCAGATCGATCAGTCCAGGCCAGAACGAACTACCAGAGTAGGTATAAGACTGACCAGAGAAGAGCAGCAAGAGCTAGTGGATTTCTTGTCCCACAATGTCGACGTATTTGCATGGAGTCACCTAGACATGCCTGGAATTAGTCCTTCCGTATCCTGTCATTCCCTGAATGTCAATCCTAATTTCAAACCAGTGAAACAGAAGCAGCGAAGATTTGCTCCAGAACGTAATCAGATCATAGCGGAAGAAGTCGATAGGCTGCTTGATGCGGGATTTATCAGAGAAGTGCACTACCCTGAGTGGTTGTCCAACGTTGTTGTGGTGCAGAAGAAAAATGGGAAATGGCGAGTATGCATTGATTTCACCAATTTGAACAAAGCCTGTCCGAAGGACAGCTTCCCGTTGCCTAAGATTGATCAAATGGTGGATGCCACCACTGGGTATGAGCGTTTAACCTTTCTGGACGCATATTCAGGTTATAATCAGATTCCTATGGACCCCGCAGATGAAGAAAAAACTTCTTTTGTCACCGAGCGAGGAACATACTGCTACAAAGTTATGCCTTTCGGGCTAAAGAATGCGGGAGCAACTTATCAACGACTTGTTAGCAAAGTTTTTAAGAATCAAATGGGTAAGATTGTCGAAGCCTATATTGATGATATGGTGGTAAAGAGTAGGAAAAAGGATGATCATCTGAAGCATCTGCAAGAGGTATTTGATGTACTAAAGCGATATGGGATGAAGCTCAATCCGACCAAGTGCTCGTTCGGTGTGAGTTCCGGGCAGTTTCTGGGACACGTGGTCAACCGCAGGGGCATCGAAGTTAGCCCCGCTCAAGCAGAGGCTTTGATTAAGAATGCCGAGCCAAAGACGATCAGAGAGGTGCAAGCCCTAACAGGACGAATAGCTGCATTAAGTCGATTTATTTCAAAATTGTCAGACCACTGCAAACCATTCTTTGACACGATTCGGAGCCATGGAAGGCAGGTCTGGGGGGATGAGCAACGACAGGCATTGACTCATTTGAAGCAATATATGCAGAATCCACCAGTCCTGTCAGCCCCAGAACCGGAAGAAAAGTTATTTCTATATCTTGGAGTATCTGGTGTCGCGACGAGTGCCGTTCTGATTCGTTGCAAGGAAGGGGTGCAATACCCGGTATTTTATGTAAGCAAAACACTGATGGAGGCAGAAAAAAGATACTCAAAGGCCGAACGGGTGGTACTTGCACTTGTAAATGCAAAAAGAAAGTTGAGGCATTATTTCGAATCCCACCCCATAGCTGTTCTAACAACTTTCCCAATCAGAACGCTCATGCACAAGCCAGAGCTCTCGGGCAGAATGACAAAGTGGGCCATAGAGTTGAGTTCATTTGACATAACGTATGAGCCGAGAACAGCTGTTAAAGGGCAAGCGGTAGCCGATTTCCTACTAGAATGTGATGCTGAAGATACGGAAAGGACCTTAGAGGCGGCTCTTGGAAACTTTTTGTGGATGGCTCCTCTAACCAGATGGGGGCTGGGATTGGGATCAAACTGCAAACCCCAGAGGGTACTTCCTTGAGCCAAGCACTCAGACTTGAGTTCCGAGCCACCAATAATGAAGCGGAATACGAGGCGTTGCTAAATGGATTAAAGTTGGCCAGAGAGCTACAGATCAAAAGTTTGACAGTGTATAGTGACTCGCAGCTGATTGTTCGGCAGGTAAATGGCGAGTACGCAACCAAGGATGACATGATGGGGGCATATCGTTCTGCCGTTCTGCGTAGAGCCAAGGACTTTGCAAAGATTGAATTCATACAGTTGCCGAGGGAACAGAATGCAGATGCAGACCGTTTAGCATGCAGTGCTTCGAGTTGCGGTGAAACATTGGCGAGGGTGATTCCAGTAGGAATAGTGACCCAGCCATCCATTCTCGAAGAACCGATGGACTCTGACCCTTGGCAAGTCAACGTCATACCGTATGAACCGAGTTGGATTGACCCAATCATTACCTATATTCGAGATGGCGTTTTGCCTATGCAAAGGGATGAAGCTAGGAAACTCAAAAAGAATGCTGCCAAGTACGCCATCGTGCGGAACCAGCTGTACAGAAGGTCCTATTCTGGCCCGTACTTGAAATGTGTCACCCCCGCGGAGTCGCAGCAGGTATTGCGAGCTATTCATGAGGGTGTGTGTGGCAATCATTCTGGGGGAAGATCGTTAGCGCATAAAGCAATGACACAAGGGTATTTCTGGCCAAACATGTCAAGAGATGCGGAGGAGTTCTCTCGAAGGTGCGATAAGTGCCAACGATATGGACCATTGATCCACCAACCACCTGAGGAATTGCACGTAATGGCCTCGCCGTGGCCTTTCGCGCAATGGGGGATGGATGTGGTCGGTCATCTGCCAACTGCAAGAGCTCAGAACAAGTATGTGTTACTGGCCACGGATTATTTCACTAAATGGGTGGAGGCAGAACCGTATCCTAGCGTGACTCAGACTCAGGTGAGACGATTTATCTGGAACAACATTATCTGCCGCTTCGGTGTTCCCAGAACAATAGTCATGGACAATGGCACAAACCTCGACAGCAGGTAAGTAAGAAAGCTGCTGGAGGAGTATGGAATCAACCAGAAGTTGGCTGCAGTAAGTCATCCTCAGGCCAACGGACAAGCAGAAATCACAAACAGAACCATTTTCGCCTGCATTAAGAAGAAGCTGGAAGATCATAAGGGGAAGTGGTTGGATGAACTCCCGAACGTTCTATGGGCTTACAGAACCACCCCAAGGCGGCCGACTGGGGAGAGCCCGTTCGCAATGGCGTATGGTACCGAAGCAGTTATACCGGTTGAGCATTTAGTCCCCACTATCAGAAGCTTAGCATGGAGTCGGGATCAGAACGACAAGATGTTAAGATTGAACCTCGACATGATAGACGAAAGGAGAGACGCAGCTGCTATAAGGCTAGCATCGTATCAGCAAGTGCTGGCGAATATTCACAACAAGAGAGTAAAACATAGGGATTTTGCCCCTGGCGATCTGGTTCTGAAAAGAAAGGTGGGGATGGTCAAAAAAATGATGCCACCCTGGGAAGGCCCATACAGAATTGCGGAAGTCATTGGCAAGGGGGCATATACGTTGGAAACCATGGCGGGAAGGTTGGTCAGCAAGCCCTGGAACGCCACGTCTCTGAAGAGGTACTACCAATAAAAGCTAAGTTCTGGCTTTAATTGGATGTTATTTGTTGTCAATCAAATACGTATGAATGAGCAAGTTACTGGAATTTACAAAAAAAGAATTTTCTTTTCCAACGGTCTACTATAAAAATTTAAAGCCAAGTGGCAAGTGGCACTCTAGCCGAGCGCCAGGCACTTAAGCAAGATAAGTGGCAGCTGGCACTATAAGCCGAACGCCAGACACTTGCTAAAAATTTAAAGCCAAGTGGCAAGTGGCATCCTAGCCGAGCGCCAGGCACTTAAGCAAGATAAGTGGCAGCTGGCACTATAAGCCGAACGCCAGACACTTGCTAAAAATTTAAAGCCAAGTGGCAAGTGGCATTCTAGCCGAGCGCCAGGCACTTAAGCAAGATAAGTGGCAGCTGGCACTATAAGCCGAACGCCAGACACTTGCTAAAAATTTAAAGCCAAGTGGCAAGTGGCATTCTAGCCGAGCGCCAGGCACTTAAGCAAGATAAGTGGCAGCTGGCACTATAAGCCGAACGCCAGACACTTGCTAAAAATTTAAAGCCAAGTGGCAAGTGGCATTCTAGCCGAGCGCCAGGCACTTAAGCAAGATAAGTGGCAGCTGGCACTATAAGCCGAACGCCAGACACTTGCTAAAAATTTAAAGCCAAGTGGCAAGTGGCATTCTAGCCAAGCGCCAGGCACTTGCCGTAAACAAACACACGGCAAAGCTAATATAAAAGAAAAAGAGAGAAAAGATATGTATGTACTGAAGATAAGTTGAATAGAGCACAACACATAGGGAAAAAGAGTTCTGTCATTTCATTAATATTGAACATTGAGTTTACAAAAGAGAGATGTCCATCATTACAAGAAGATATGAAATAGAAGAATTCGAAGGAGCCCTAGCTAGACGCCTCAGTACCAACAGCATCCTGGTCGTGCCGACTCGCCTCCTCGGCCCCATCAGCCGCCTTACCTTCATGAGGCGGGGAATCAAGGTGAATGACTGAATCGTTCGGCTGGGGTTCAGCGTCAGCAGTGGCTATAGAAGGAACCACGGTTGACGATTGGGGAGCGGTCAGTGGCAGAGCGGTAGGAGGAGCTGTGATGATCCTTGAGGATGCGATGTCCTGGCACTCATCAAATATACGTTCCGCTTCGGTGGGTTCTGGGTCGACATAGACCCCCAGAGGTTCGATCCCCAGATCCTTGTCTACCTCATCCGGAGTGGAGCTGGTCTGTCCCTCATCTGGAACCCGGTCGGCGAAACCTTCCCGGAATCCTTGAGCATACCGAAGAGCACCGACCCTGGAGAACTGAGCGTGAAGGGCCAGCATCCCACCACCCACTCTGCTGATCGCGTCGATCAGAGCGGTACGCTCGTCCAGAGCTCTTTTTTCAAAAGCTATCCGAGCAGACTGTTCATCAGCTAGAAGGCGCTGGAGTTCTGCCTTCTCTTCCCTAATTGATTCCCGCTCAGTCTGCCAGACGCTCTTCTCAAGCTGGAGGGCGTCCTTCTCATCCTGAAGGGAATCATTCTCCTTCTTCAGGACATCTCTCTCTTGCTCGGCTTTGTCAAGCCGAACCAGCACCTCGGTATTCTTCATGGCAAGGAGGTCGTTTTCTTTATTAGCCACCTCCAGGCTGTCAGAATACTTTCGGGCCCTGGCGTTCCCCATCTCCACCTGCTTCTGCATGGCCATCATCCCGAACAATGTCTGCATAGGTGCACAATAAAAACGGTTAAACCAATAGTCAGAACGGGCGAAGGCAAGACCAAGTAATATAAGAGAATTCATGAGTTAGAAAATAAAAGTCACCTCCATAGCAGATTGGGGAAAGCGACTGAACACGTCCTTCTGGGAAAGGCCCTTTGCCGCCTCAAGGTCCTTCGGAGTCCACATGCTCCTGTAGTAGGCCATAGCGGTCTGGCCATCCTTCAGCATGGTCTCGTTCGGTTTCACGAACGTCCCATCCGTTCGGGTGTACCGAGGGGCCCATGGCGGTAAGCTGGGGATAGAAGGGGGGCCTGAAGCAGAAGCAGAGCCACCAGCTACAGGAGGCCCAGAGGGAGAAGGAGCTCTGATCGCTCGGTGCAAGAGAGTACCCGGCCCAGAGACCCGGGTCCTTCTAATGAGAGGCTCCTCCTCAGGATCGATTTCACTGTCAGGATGAGGCCTTTTGCCTCGTTCTTTGTCCCGACCGACCCCCGCAGCAGCAGGAGTTATGGTAGCTGGGGAGGGCGCGTTCTGGTTGGCAGCAGGGGCGCTGGCAACAGGGTTAGTAGCCACTGCGCTCGGGACAGTGTCAGATATGGTGGCTGAGGAAGAAGCTGACGCTGGAGAGGAGGTCGCCCCAGCAGCAGGAGTGGCTGGGGGAGTATTTTTCCTCCTGCCAAAAGAGGGAATCTGAAGTCTGCTCATGTTGTAGCCGAGTGAGGAGAGCGCAAAGAGGTTGTCTGAAGTGAGGAGATCTGAGCAGGAAGGAATATCGTTCAGAACGTATCTCTTCAAGTAGTTACTCCTATCCCTGCAAACACTGTAGCTCAAGTCATCACAAGGTATTCCCAAGGAGCGGCATAAGTAAGTGCAAAAACGAGGAATGCATGTTTCACAGGGGCAGTCATGTTTATGGGATTTGAATTTTTTATAGGAGGAGACAGAGCAGACACCAAAGGCGCTCGGGATTGGGTAACCCTCTGCAGCCGGCGAAGACCAAGCCCCACTAATGCCCACTATGCTATCCCTCCAACCCTTTTCAGATTTTATTGTGTCAGTACATATGGACATCTTCTCGAACGGGTAGAGGTGGTAGAAGGGCTCGTTAATACGGATCTTACTCACCTTATAGCACAGAAGGAGGTCTATGAGGTCGAGGTCCAGATTTCTGTCACGCATCAACAAGAGCATAACAGATATGATTCTAAAGAAGTTGGGGTTGACCTGCAGAGGGGATATCCCCAATCTATTGAAGACATAACTAAAGAAAGGGTGCAGAGGGAACCTAACAACATTCAATTGAAGGTTCGTGAATAAGACTTCGCCGGGCAGGAGGCCGGCGCCGGTCGTAATGTTAACGTCTTGGGGGCAAACCCTAACTTCGATGTTGTCAGGAAGTTTAAGTCTCATACGAAGAACATCCAGATCTACAACCATGGTGGAAGTGATAGAAGAATCTACAAGAGGGTAAATGGAAGCCTGCCGAAAGTAAAAAGAATGAAACTAACCTCGGAGGACTGCAAGATCGCTGGAAGAATGACTCTTGAAGAATTTCACCAAGGAAAGCTTAGCACTGTTCTAGAAAAGAGAGAGACTTGGCTGATGATGGAGACGGTAAAGGGAAGTGAAGTGGAATTCTAGAGCATTATAAAGGCGAGGGGGCCCGAGGGCCGAAGCGTCGGGAAGGCCAGAAATCCCTCGAGCCCCGGAACATTGATGCTGGATCTGACCGTCCACTCCCCCACGTGGTTATCTCGAGCCGTCAACATCATGATGAGACGCCATCAATAATTACCCCTTATTAAATAAGGGGCAATTATGGGGGCAGTTGAGGAGGCCCCGGATGACATGGGCCAGATCCGACTCGCAAACATAGCATTCAGTCCGTACAGCTGGGCCAGCCCATAGAAGGACACTGCCATATGGGCCGAACGAGAGTAAGCCCATCAAAGGTGACCAAGGCTTACGAAGGAATAGGCCCAGATCCAGCAATTAGTAAATATCTTGTAAATATCTTGTAAATATCTATAAATAGGAGAGGGAATGAAATGAAGTGGGATCTTTTTTGGGGGTTGAGGTGTAAGAATTCTAGAGAAAGAAAGTGGAGAAGGAATTTCTTGCATTTTCAATGTCAGATGTGCATGCGGTTCTGTTTCTTGATAACAACGTGAGATAGTATTATAATACAAACTGTCAAATTTATTTCTTCTTTCTTTCCTCGAACCGGCGACTAATTTATTATTGAAAAAAGAGTTTGCCATCTTGTTGAACTATTCTTTGGAGATTGTGCCCACAACCACTGCGGTGGCTCCGACACCGTTAGGAGAATGAGTTGTGACGAGAGAACGGTTGTGCAGTGGCCGGGTGTTGGTAGAAGTGAGGTCGGTATTGTAATTGTTATTTATTTATTTATTTTCTTTTCTTTTCTATGTTTTGGTCACATATTGTGCACAGATTTTTTTTGCATTTTCTGTGATGGGATAGATGGTGACAAAGCCGTGTAAACGTACAAATTGCTCGGAGTAGTACCTATTTTTTATTTTTAGTTTAAATGTGCAATATTCAATGATAAGTGTTATTATTTTTTAAAATTTTCTCTCATTTTGGATAACTTTTGCATTTATGGTTTGATACGAATGATCAAATTGTCTTGTATATATACTGTATATATAACGAGTGCAATGTATTACTAAAGAGAAATTCCATATAGAAAAAAACCACTTCGGCCTTGCCCATGAGACTGAAAACGGTATATTTTCAGTATCAGAGCAGGACGTCAGCTATTAATGCCGGTGGCTTTTCCGTGCCTTTGGTTTAGTTCGCAATTGGTTGTTGAATGTTGAGGAAGAAAGCAATTCAAGAAGAAAGTTAATAATCAATTCCAGAGTTGGAAATTCATTCTGTATTACCTTATAAGTTTTGGGAATTGATGAGAGAGAAAGAGAAAAGAAAAAGGATTTTTATCCCATTAAAATAGGTCGGTCTAACTTTTTTTATATTTGCTGATATTGTTATTGAAACTGACATGTTAATTTTTTTATTAGAACACATAAAAATGAGTAGGGTGAAACTACTCACCGATAACTAATTAAGCATTATCCTATATATATATTATATATATATATATATATATATATATATATATATATATATATGGAAGGTGAATCAAATTTATACAATGGGGGAGCATTAGTAGGTACAAGTGGCTCTAAGCCGATGGAAAATAAGTGGGCCTAAGCCCAAAAGGCCCAATATCTGTACCAAAACATTGCACTTGGCTTAATAAACAGCAGTTAAAGCCTAAAAGCATAGGATCATATCGGCCAAGTCGGCCCAAACAGAGACCGACAAACTCCAACGACTCACGAGCACATGAAAGAATATTCGGCTTTTGCAGTCGGCATAACCGAAGCTCTGAAAATATAATCATAAGCATAATAAAATTCGGCTGTTAGCCTGTTACAGCCGGAATAAGAAGCGTAGGCTGTTACTCCTCAGGACCATAGTCAGATTAAGAGAGGGGTTTGGGTTATGGTTTGATTTAAAGGTATTTAATTCAATTAAAATGTTAATTTTATATCAAAGGTTAATAAAGTTAATTTATTATTGTCAGGACTCTTTGTTAATATTTTCAAATTTGAGAGAGTGTCAATGTTCAAAAATAGGCAAACATATTTTTATTCCAAATCTCAGAAGGTGTTATTGTACTTTATCCATATATATATATATATATATATATATGACTTTTACAAACGGATATGTTTAAATATTAATAAAACAAAACAAAACAAATTATTATAAATATTTCATTCAATTTTAACAATCTCTCACATGATAGAAATATTATTAAAATTAGAACAAAATAAATAATTATAAACATTTCATTCACTCAAAATTTCAACAATCTCTCACATGATTGAAATATTATTAAAATTATAATTAGATATGGGTGTAGAGTTATGCATGACAAAAGTGTCTTGTGGACTTGAACTTTGTTTTAATATCGAGCTACATTTCACTTGATAACCTAGATTATAAGATTTCATCAAATATATCCTCTTAAAAGAAGAACTTTTTAGAACATGTAAAATTATTATCTTTCTAGAAAACGGAAAACTGTTTATGAATAAAATCGTGACAAAGTAGTGAAATAATAATATATATAATATAAAAATTATTACAATAATGACACATTTTTATTTTCTAATTCATTTAAGAGCAACTCTTAGTATAGAAATTATAAATGAATTAGAGTTTTATAATATTATTACTGAATAGATGTATAATAATAAAAAATTTATATTATTATGTAGTTGTGTCCACGCCGTGTTTTACTTTTTCTAAAATTTGAAGTGTGTATTCGTGTCGTGTCGTATCGTGTCCGTGATGAAATCATAATACATATGATGTACCTATTATTTATAATTAAATAGGAATGCAAAATGCAAGAGTAATCAAACTATATGATTCCACGGACTGGAAATTGCTTTAGCCTTTGAAAATTAATCGCACATAAAAAAAAAAAAATGATTTGAGATTGTATGAGGAAAAAACCATCCGTCTTCATGGAATTGGTGAAAGCTTCCACACCAGTGTCCTCTTGCTTGACCACTTGTCAAACGGTGGAACAACTACATCTTTCTGGTTTGATAACTAGATGGATTAAGGCCCACTAGTTGATAACTACATCTTTCTGGTGCTGCACTAGAATTTTAATTTGCCCACTGGTTGTTTTTTTTTTTTATAAAGAAAACCCTATTGAAATTACAAAAATAGACCTACCATATAAATTTGTTCCTCACAAATTAAAAGGCCCCCTTACAAAATTTTCTGGTCCATCACTGGAAGGCAAGAAACACAATGTTGGGTTCTTCAAAGGGAAGAGAATGACACCCAAGCAGCTTCTAAGTGTTATTACTGGAACTATAAGAGGCAAACTTCTTAGTACCAAATGGAAGAGAAACTCTTGCTCAGTTTAAGTCTTTTATGACGAGATCAATGGAGGATTCATTAGATGTGTGATGTTCTAAATCATGAACTTGTTTCAGAACAACCCTCATTGGTTTGATTTAGTTTTTGCTATTGGGCTTTGTTCGGCTCCTAAAAACTGGGGTCTTTTCCAGGTGGGGAAAGGAGGGTGAACGTCGGACGTGCCAGGAACTACTGTCGTTCCAAAGTGGATATCCGAACAACTATCTGGTAGGAAATTGTAGGGATCAAACGATTGAATGAAGGACTGGAATTACCACTTTCAAGGGTTCTTTTTGCCTTGGAAAAGGACTTTCGGACTGAACTATGGCTAGTGGAAAGGAAAGCTGTATTGA